GTCCGTAGGATTACCTCTTCGGTTCCGGCTATCGCGAAGGGTAACCAACCTTTGGAACTCCCTTCCAGCTGACGTGGTGGACGAGGTCAATGATAAGATGTTCAAGAGGAAGCTCGACAGCGTCCTGCGAACAATGTGGTATGCATATCTATCATGAATGAGATCTTCGAGTCTGTGGTGATGAGGCTCATACGGGAAATTACCCTCTGCCTCTAATTGAAGAACATTGAACATTGAAGAATATCATCTAGCCTTGTTAGATTCTGTTTTATCTAGCCGATCTGCTTCCCTGATATCTTTGCATAACGCTAATTTCAATTCCCGTTTATCACATGGTGCCTAATTTTTAGCCAAATTGCCTAATTTATATTTTTCTCTTGGTTATCCTTCCTGTTCTCCAGCAATCAGTGGCGAAATATCCGATCTCGATGTACCAAAAGTAGCTCCAGTTTTGGTACCCAGTTTGATGCGTGTCATCTGCGATAAACAAGTGAGTGCACTACTAGCGCTCAACCTTATTTGCTTACAAAACCGCTTTTGTCAGTACTGCTCTAACACTAAACATGCTCATACCCGACCTATCTGTGAATGTGTTTTGACGCTCAACGTTGCACGATTTGCGGCTCGTTGTATCCTTTGTGTGATTCCGGTTTAATATCGTTCGAGCAGGATTATACGTGCCCTGGTACGAAGCTAATTTAGGATGTTGATAATGATGGTCGTGGTCGTGGTCGTGGTCGTTCTTGGACTGAACCCCTCGGAATTAGCGTTTCTGAAGAGAAAGTATCATTCGTTTTACTTACGAACGTGTGTTTTTGTATGAGAGGGGCTACTCGGGTAGCATCAAATAGTTTCTGACTCTGTTCTTATACGCGATTCCGTTAAATAAGGATTTGAGATTTTGTGAATCAAACAAACACAAAAACTTCAAAACCAGGCATCTCACACATTGGGGTGCTATTCTGACAACCCCGTAAGTAGAGTATTTTGATATCATTTTGCTCCTCAGTTATCTGAGCTATAGGCTACTGGTGTTCTCGGCTGCAAGCATAATTTTATCTCACGCGTAATTGGAAGTTAGGTGTATAGAATTTGTTCTCAGGTTTTCCAACAAACTTCCCCCCGGTGAATTGGAATGATGAGTGTCATCGATTACCTATTTTCACTTCAGTCACATGATAGCCGATCCAGCAGGAATTTATTCCCGAACCCGCAGCGTCATGTTACGACAAGTTTGGCTCTTTTTACCCTCTGTCGCACATGACAATTATTGACTGATTGATGTGTTGGTCCTAGCGCATTCAATCTGTCATAGATTAGGAACTGAATTTTTAGGTGAACATATAGTTATTACAAAAGAGAATTGTGATTGCTTTATAGATAAATTGGAAGTAATTTCCGACAAAGCTCAATCCATTAAAGTCCAAGAAGACTGATCATCATGTTTGAAATGTTTCCTCAGCGTTACTGCTTGCATCCTGTGTGGTAGTCACCCTTATCAGAGTCGGTTGGTTGCAGCTACCGATAACTGTTCATCGATGGCTGTTCTTCAATGCTGCGATTCAGTCGTCGTTGTCCGCTTTCAAATCATCGCGTTTTATTTTCAAAGCATTCAAAAACGACTATCGTCCAGGAATGCCTCAAGTTCGATCATAGATCAGTTAATCGACATGTGGTCAACACAACGATTACTTATCTGTTCGTTCGCACTCATTCGGGATTGTACGTTGTTGTGCGTTGTCGCAAGCAGAAGTATTACCCTCACTTGTTGAGTGTTGTATTTTCTCGCCTTTGTATCTATCCATCAACTTTGCTCTTCTTGAGGTAAGTCCGTAAGGCGATTGATTTGCGGTATTCGGGTCAAT